AAAAAAAAAAAAAAAAACCCATCTAAATGCCATACATAACTCGATAGAAGATTGTAAGGTAAGGCTGTTTCATTTTTGGATCTACTCATCTGGGTGAAAAAGGAGTTGTTGCAGTGACGGTCTAAAACACACACACAAAAGGAAGGAGACAGATTTTAAAAGGAGCAGCAGCATGCACGTGTTTCCTGTGGAGGCCGCATGGGCTCAACGAAGCTAATTGCGAATCTAGTGGACCATCTGCTGATCCCCACCAGTTTATTTTCCTGTTCTTTGCATGTGGGTATGCGCATTTTCTTATGTGGCCTGTGGCATTACCTTGGCGAGGGAAGATACATATTACATTCAAATGGCAAATGGTGGAATGGCGTTAATGCCGTTTGAAACATCAAATGGAATCGCAAATGGGGGAGAGGGGGCAGAGAACTTCCAGTGTTTGCGTGCTTTCAAAGAAGCAGATTGTTGCAACGGCATCAGATGATGGAACATGGAAGATGTGGACATTGCCAAATGGGGAGCTTATATTGACAGGCCAAGGCCACAAAGACTGGGTTGCAGGGATTGACTTCCACCCCAGGTAAAGTAAACCACAAGGATAGGACTTGCATCCACAAACTGAACTGGAAGGAATGGGAGGGAGTTCTTCGTGTAACACAAAGAGGAGTGGATGGGGAGCAAAGGGAATAGAAGGGAAGGAGAAGGGGAAGGGGAAGGGGAAGGGGAAGGGGAAGGGGAAGTGAAGGAGAAGGGGAAGGGGAAGGAGAACACAAGGGGAAGGGAATGGGAAGGAAGGAGAAGGGAAGGGGAAGAGAAGGGGAAGAGAAGGGGAAGAAAAAGAAGGGGAAGAAAAGGGGAAGAAAAGGGGAAGAAAAAAGTAGGGGAAGAAGGGGAAGGGAAGATGAAGGGGAAGGAGAAGAGGGGAGGGTAAGGAGAATGGGAAGAAAGTGGCAGGAAGGGGAAAATGAAGGGGAAGGGGAAGGGGGAGGGGGAGGGGGAGGAAAGGAGAAGCTGAATGGGAAAGGGAAGGTGAAGAAGAAGGGAAAGGCGAAGGAAGGAGAAGGGAAGGGGAAGAAAAAGGACAGGAAGGGGAAAATGAAGGGGAAGGGTGAGGGGAAGGAGAAGGAGAAGGAGAAGGAGAAGGAGAGTGGGAAAGGGAAGATGAAGGGGAAGGGGAAGGAGAGGAAGAAGCAGAAGCAGAAGGAGAAAGGGAAGGGAAAGGGGAAGCCGAGGTGCAGGCAAGGAACTGAAGGACAAAGAATTGAAGGCAAGAGAAAGAATGGGAAGAGGATATGGAAGGAAAGGGAATATAAAAAGGGGAGGGAATATGCCAAATTGCCCAAGGGAGCGGCAAAAAACTGAACAAAAATCAGAAAGAAAGTTTGGCGAGGTTGTGCTCGCTAGTGAACTGTCACGGCGAAGCATTCAGGAAATCTGGGAAGTGTTTGACAACAAATACAAACACTATTAGTCACAAAAGCCCTGGTATGAGTATGCCCTCATTCGGCCTTATGGAACTTGTCGGTGGTCTTGGTAATACTGGGTTAAGGGGCCCTAACTCCTGTAACCCTGGTGTTACCGTAGTCAAACTCGATGACATCCAGTTTGACTGACTTTGTGAGATTTAAGTGTTTCTTAAAGGCACTTCACATATGCTTTTGCCGTCTTCCACCAGTCCTTGCCTAGAAGCATATCAAAGGGTTACTTCTCTTCTACTAAGGGTCAAAGATGGAATACCTTCTCTATTTTCCTCCACCCTCCATCTCGAAGTATTTGTGATCCCCTCTACATATCGGCCCACACTGATATCACAACTGATTGCCATCTCCAAAAATAGTGGCTCTTCCATTCCTGAACTCCTTGATTGTCCTACGTGAAATATAACTTATTGTCGAACCATTATCTATCAATGTATCTTTTCTAGTCCTGCAGATTTCTATATTTGCCAAAATTAGTTGCCAATTGCTCTCTCTTCAACTTAGCTCAGATGTGGTGAAAGAGTGATCAGCTCCTTGCCCACACCTATCTACAGCCTCCTCATGAGTCAGTGAAACTTTGACGAAACAGTATGTCACGACCGCTCGTTTGCTGTCCTCTTCTCCCTCTCTGCCTACGTGGCTGGCCTTGTACGTAAGAGGCGATGAACAGGTGGGGCTTTCCTGCCTTCTTTTCCTTTCCTTGTTTTGCCTTTTTTCGCCTTCGCGCTCCGGTTCACAGTGTGACAATATATATACATAGAGGGTTCAGCCTCTTGATGTGTCCGTGAAACTCCAACAAAATAGTATGTCACAACCCCTCATTTGTTGTCCTCTTCTCCCTCTCTGCCTATGGTTTACCAGACAGTTCTGTTTGACGATATATAAATATTATATATGTTATACGGGCAGTTGTGTTTGACAATAACCAAGATAAAGTTTATGAGATTTTTAGATTATATTTATATTATATTTCTATTATTATCTATGTCTATTATCTATATAGTATATATGGTTTTGGAAACCATTTCTACCATTGGAACTATTCTCCTCACAAAATAAAGTGTGATTGGTTTATGGAGTTTGCACCTATTTGTGTGTATTTGCCATTTGGTCATTAGTTTACTACTTTCTTTGACTTTTTTTTTTTTTGGCCTTTCTTTCTCATTTGCTTCTTCATCCAGCCTAACCTACCAGAAAAAACTGTCAGCTTATGAATGTGGTGTTGAGGGTGTGACCGAACTTCACACTTGGGGCATATGGCTTATTTTCAACTGGCAAAGTAGAGGAAACAAAGCATGCCATAAAAGCACATGCATAGAGGCTCGAAGTGCAGTTGCGTTATCTCATTGGAGTATAGCCAAGCAGAAAGGCTTCATTTTTTAATACTGACATGCGAAATTCTGAATTGTGCACCTATTTGTGTGTATTTAGTCATTAGTTTACCACTTTTTTTTATCTTAATTGAGCTTTCTTTCTTATTTGCTTCTTCATCCAACCTAACTTAGCTGGGAAAACTGTCAGCTTATGAATGTGGTTTTAAGGGCAATTGTAAGGTCACCTATAGTTATCAAAGTGTGTGACCGAACTTCACACTTGGGGCATATTGCTTACCTTCAACTGGCAACAGTAGAGGAAAAGAAGTGTGCCATAAAAACACAGTATAGAGACTCGAAGTGTGGTCACATTATTGGAGTATAGCCAAGTGGAAAGGCATCAATTTTTAATGTTGATATGCAAAAGTTTGAACCTTGCACCAACTTATGTGTATTTGGTCATTAGTTTACTACTTTCTTTAATCTTTATTGGACTTATTTCTTATTTGACCTTGCACTTAATTGGGCTTTCTTTCTTATTTGCTTCTTCGTCCAATCTAACTTATCTGGAAAAACTGTTAGCTTACAAATGTGGTTTTAAGGGCGGTTTTAAGGCCGTTTATAGTTATCAAAGTGTGCGGCCGGACTTGACACTAGTGGTATATGGCTTACCTTCAACTTGCAATAGTAGAGGAAACAAAGCATGCCATAAATGCACATTCATAGAGGCTCGAATTGCGGTTGCATTATCTCATTGGAGTATAGCTATGTTTCCCCATGGCCACGGTCGAATTCGGCCATGGCCGCGGTCGCCGGCCGCGGCCGCTTTGGTCGAGAAGTTTCGGCCGCGGCCGCGGCCGAGATGGGAGGGGGTTTCGGGAGAGGAGAGCGGGTTTTGGGTGGGGGTGGGGCGCCGCACGCCCTCGAAGTGACAAACCGACAAAAAAATAAAAAACGGGGGGGTCCTAAACATGGGTCTAGCAGGGTGGGCCGGGAAAATCCTTGCGTCCACCGAACTGCGGTTCGTCGATGCAGGTGAGTAGGGGGGAAGGTAAGCAACACAGGAAAAAAAAAAAAAAAAAAATGCGGCCCCGGCGGGTTCGTTTTTTTGGGGTTGGGGGT